TCTTCATAGCTTTAAGAGATTATGGAGCCTATAACATCACACACCAAGCTGGTGAACTAGAGGAAAGATACAACGATTCAAACACGTAGTGTGTGATAGCAGATTCGAGATGTGTTTGATAGAGAGTCCGAACGATTCGTAAAGATGAAGCATTTACAGGGAATTTCAATATTTAGTGCTTTACCTGAGACAAAACAGTCCTGTAAACGTCCTTTTTATTGTATACAAGCAAGGCAAAGTTTTCCAGCTCATGGCATAACAACTAGATCAAGAGTATGCCATGTCTATGTACCTGTTTTGTTACTGGAGGGTCCAATATCGCGTGGCATGATTGCGTCATCTGGTAAGCATTGTGACATATTATGAAGAAGAGGCTCCTCATGAGGAGCAATCTGCAATAAAGAAAGAAAGAGAATATAAAGGAAGGCTTTAAAAGATGCAATTTAGCTCTAGATAATCTATCCAAGAGGTATGAAAGGATGGATTTAAAATGTCGTAAATTCATTGGATTAATGATAATATTTCTAAGGTGTAATTATGCTTTAGGTGTCCTCTGCCGGATAAACCTGATAAAAATACTTATGAACCGACCTTTAATCTCGAATAAAAAGTAGGTTTTCGCTGAGGCCAATTGACGAATCTATTCAAACCTATTTTTAGCCAGAGTTGAAGGGTCGAATCGCATTAGCCAATTAAAGGATTTTTCTTTATTATATGAAAAAAATTGTTTAAATGGCTGGCGAGGTAATATAGATGGAATGGGTTGTCTACTAAAGTGAGGCCCAACAATAGCCAAACCACCCGGCAACCTCACCACGTATGGGCTACAAGTTTGGTAGATGATTTCATAGTACGCCTGCTTCTAGAAAAGTGAAAAGATTTGTAGTCAGTTTGAAAAAGCGCTTCTTGAATCGTCCTCAGTCCGGCTGCACGGTCGTATTGACTTCAAGATAACAATCTGAGCCCTGATTGAGTTTAATTAACGGTTTTACATCAAACCCACCCTCTTCCGGTCGGATTTGACAACGTATATATAAAAGTCATTGCTGAGCACGCAAGGCTAAAGAAGCCTTAATAAGGTTGTCTTTCTGCCATGTTTTTATGCCATATTTGTATCCATTCTCAACTAAGGCACTATTATGTATTACATGTCTGCTGTAAACGAGGATATTTGACCATTAACGCAAACGATTATCGTCAAGGAAAACTGGCCCCTTCAGCCTTCACAAGTGCTGAGGAGAGTAGCGGCGCATCCTCTTACGAAAGCTTTGCTGCGTCACGTCGCAAATTTAGAAAGCAAGCTAGAAAGGAAAGTATGAATCATAGTTGATGCATGAAGGTTCCGCAGCTGATCTGTGGGCTTTAGTTAGAATAATAGTGGTGTGAGTATAAAATTCAGGGCTGCCGAAAAAAATGACAACGGTTTGAATAAATTTTTATTTAGGATAAATGAAAGATAATAAAAAATAATGCGGATTTTCAAGAGGTCGTATGGTTTTTAATATCTATATTTTGTCTTCTATAAAGAATAGATTGTTGGATTCCTTCATTTCTTTTATCGTGCAAAACAGCTTCCAGCTATGGGCAAAATTAAGCAAGTTCACACCGATCAGCTTGAAGAAAGCCCTGTATGAAATAACCATTCCGATCACTTAAAACCGCTCCTGTATCACAGTTAATATGGTCGCATTGTCCTGTCGCATCCCT